TATCATACCCATTTTCACATGAAGAAACTTAGCTTTAGAGACTTTAATATAATTTGTCCAAGGCTACATGGTTAGTAAGTGGTGAAGTCAGAGTATGAAACCAGGTCTGCCAGATGCTAAAGACAGTTTGTTTTCTATAACCCTAGAGGAGCTTCCTGGTGTGCAGAGACTACTTACGTGCCATGTGAACAAAACTGCTGAGTGCCCTCAGGCCCAGGAATGGTTGCCCCTGGCTGTGAGCGGCCTCATTTGTTTACATCATCACATCTGTGGTTTTCTCTGTGTGCCATGATACAAAAGTGTTCAGGAAGCTCTGCACACTGCACATGCTATTTCCCTCAATTGTCTCAGGCTCCAGATACCACTCCTAGCCATGTCACTGAGGTAAAAGTACCAGACAACATTTTTTGGACAACTTACGAAAAGAGATAATCACAGAGTCAGGTAGGGCATTTCCAAGGACACCAAAACAGAAATGAGTCTCTCTCCCATCACTGTTGTGAAAGCACCAAATACAAGGAGATGTTTCTAGAAGAAAATGATTACAATTATAGGGGTGCACTACTTATTAAATCTGAAATATGCCAATCAAGAAGGTGAATTCTGGCCGGGCGCTGTGGCTCACGCCTGTAATCCTAGCTCTTGGGAGGCCGAGGCGGGCGGATTGCTCAAGGTCAGGAGTTCAAAACCAGCCTGAGCAAGAGCGAGACCCCGTCTCTACTATAAATAGAAAGAAATTAATTGGCCAACTGATATATATAAAAAATTAGCCGGGCATGGTGGCGCATGCCTGTAGTCCCAGCTACCTGGGAGGCTGAGGCAGAAGGATCACTCGAGCCCAGGAGTTTGAGGTTGCTGTGAGCTAGGCTGACGCCACGGCACTCACTCTAGCCTGGGCAACAAAGCGAGACTCTGTCTCAAAAAAAAAAAAAAAGGTGAATTCTTTGAAAGGGTTAGCTTGATATAAAATGTGTATTCTGGCAATGGGAAAAGTACAGTATGAATAACTCAAAACTCATGAAAGCCCAGTGACTAAGAAGCTTTGGAGAGAGACACGGATCAAAAGCCATGTCCCAAGGCCGGGCCTGGTGGCTCACGCCTGTAATCCTAGCACTCTGGGAGGCCGAGGCAGGCGGATCACCCAAGGTCAGGTGTTCGAAACCAGCCTGGGCAAGAGCGAGACCCCGTCTCTACTAAAAAATAGAAACAAATTAATTGGCAACTAAAATATATAGAAAAATTAGCCAGACATGGTGGCGCATGCCTGTAGTCCCAGCTACTTGGGAGGCTGAGGCAGAAGGATCGCTTGAGCCCAGGAGTTTGAGGTTGCTGTGAGCTAGGCTGATGCCACAGCACTCTAGCCCGGGCAACAGAGTAAGACTCTGTCAAAAAAAAAAAAAAAAAAAAAAAAAGCCGCCTCCCCTACAGGCTGTTCAGTCTTGGATATATTAATCATCCTTTCTAAGTGCTGTTGCCTCATCTGTAAAATGGAGATTTCATGAGTACTCACCCTATAATATTGTTGTGAAGACTAAATGAGAAAATCCATAAATAATGCTTAACACAGAACCTGGCATTTAAATTTAGTCTTTATCTTTGTCATTATTAAAAAACCTAGAAGAGTCTATTCACTGCCTCCATAAGGACTGGTGTTTATAGACCATTTTGGGAAGGGCAGATAAATGCTATAAAGTTAAATTGTTCCCACTCTACTTACTCTCAGATTCCAGCCGCTAGATTCAGAATGCACTGTTTTCTCTTTGCCTTGCTCGGTTGGGTTTTGTTTCTCTTCCTCTTAATATCCTGACCACAGGATCAGTGTATCCCTGTGATTGTTTTATCAGTCCTTTCTAGGGTTTCCTCAATACAGCCACTTCCCCATGAGCTGAGCCTCTCCGGGCACTTTATTCAGCTGCCAAATTCAAAGGAAGAGGAAGCCTGGGAAGGGAGGCAACCACTGCGAGGGAAGAAAAGAGAAAGAACTGGGGACACTCTGGTTTGAGGGACCTCTGCCAGGTCCCAGCACCAGCATCAGCTGTCAGGAATTCAGGTCTTTGAAGCACTGATATCTCTAACAATTTTTTGGAAATGCAAACATCCTAAGCTTCGGGGTTCATTAACTTCAGAGTGTTAAATTTGCTCACCAGTCACTTTTCTTTAGAGTGGGAGTGTGCCGAAGAGTTTCGATGAGAGGAGAGAAGAAGAGGGCGATTTCTGAGGAAGCCAAGACCCTTTACAAAATGAGGGACTTAGACAACAAAGGGCTATTTATCATTGAGAACTTAGGTTAGAAAGGGAGAGATGAAACCCTGTTTTAGACCCAGCTATGCCACTGTGTGATCTTGAGCAAGGCCCTGCTTCTCTGGACCTCAGCGAAGGGAGAAAGATGGAAAGGATGCTCTTTATCAGATGTGTCTTTTGCAAATATCTTCTTCCAGTCTGTGGCTTGTCTTCTTATTCTCTTGACAGAGGATGAGAAGAGTCTTTTTTAGAGCAGAAGTTTTTGTTTTTTAATTTTAATATAGTCCAACTTATCAATTAATTTTTTTCCTAAATCATACCTTTGGTATTGTATCTAAAAAGGTGATTACTTTTCTCCATTGTATTTCATGTGCCTCTTTGTCAAAGATCAGTTGACTATATTTATGTAGGTCTATTTCTGGGCTCTCTATTCTGTTCCACTGGCATGCTGAGTAGACTGGAAGGTATCAAAAGCAAGCTGTTGCTGAACTTGTCTTGCCCTCCTGTCTCTCACCTCTCTTGAAGTAAGTCACAGAAACCAGAATCCCTCTTCCCCAAGGTGGGTCATGAAACTAGAACCCCTCTCCATCAAAGCAAGCTATAAAACTTAGAAAGCTCACTCTCTCCTCTCTTAAAGACCCTCATTCCAGAGGGGTCCTGCCCTATACCCCAGAGGAAGGAATGCTATACAGAGAAGCTAAGAAGAATCTAAACAAACGGGGCTTGCTAAGTTTCCCACCTCAATCTATTACCCGTAGCCCATACTCTTATCTAATCATGTTTCTACACACTGTCTGCTCTTCATTGAACCTTAGCATAAAAACAGAGTTTTCCCTGAGTCTTTGGGTCTTCATTTCTGAAGGCTTCTGTGTTATGCAAAATTTTGATTAAGTAAATGTACTATGCTTTTCTCTTGTTAACCTGTCTTTTGTTATGGGATTGTCAGCCATGATCCTTATGGTGGCTGAAGAAAGATATCACACCTTTCTACCTCTATGAGGCTCCAGACACTCCTTTCTCTTCAGTGATGATTTTCAGGTAAGAGTGTCCAGTCTACCACAACCTTTCAGGGACAGGAAAGAGTTGAAATCCTAGGTCACACCTGGGCAGGTTGTTCTCTGGGGCAACACACAGAAGGGTGGGGGCAAAGACATAGCTTACCATGAGTGCCATCCTCAACAGGTGCTGAGCCAGGAAGGGGGAGGTGTGCCATCACCTAGACAGAAGGCAGAAGGGCCAGGAGCCATGGAGGCCCATGAATCAGGTATCCAGAGCAGAAGGGCTAGAGCATGAGGAGTCGAGGCAGACACGAGTGTGGTGAGTTCATGGTCAGTTTGAAACAAATCTTGTTATCACCCAAGTTTCTTCCATTTATTTCTTATTGCTCATTGATTGGCAGATTACTAGGGTAGGAGAGATCCTAAAAGTGACTGGAATGTAAATAAAGAAGATCTCCTCTGACCATATCATTCGAGTAAAGTTGCAAATATGAAGGCAGTGTTGTGGCCGGTCGAGTAGCCTTATGGGAAACGTTCTCCTTCCGTACCCTTGGGCTTTGCATCTGTGGATTCAACCTACTGTGTGGATCAACAATATTCAGGAAAAAAGATAACAACAGTGCAATAATAATAATAATAAATAACAAATTAAAAAGAGAAAAAGAAAAGGTTCTCAATGAATCCTCATTTTATCAAGCTAGAAAACGGGAAAACTTATTTTGTACAAGGGGACAGTGTTAGCCCCTGCTCACCATCTGTTATTTCCTGTGGCCCCCAGTCTCAGTAGAGGGCCTAGGAGAAGAGTTTATCCTGACAACAGAGCAGAGCAGGAGGGCATCCTGGGGTGAACTTGGGCCCTGCCAGAATAGCAGAAGTAATCACAGCGTCTTCTGGAATCACTGGAGGAAATGATACTGAGTGGCAATAGCAACAACTTCTGAGCAGGGAAGAAAGAACTCAGGGGAGCAAATAACAACTGAGTTACCGAATCAGCATCTGGTGCTCTAACCCAGCGATGACTTTTGAGGAGATATAAAAGGTGGGATGGGGATGGGAGCAGAAGATGAATAAATAAGAAGAGATAGGATCCGGCGCAGTATCTCACGCCTGTAATCAGGACGCAGTGGCTCACGCCTATAATCCTGGCACTCTGGAGGCCGAGGCGGTGAATCGTTTGAGCTCAGGAGTTCAAGACCAGCCTGAGCAAGAGTGAGATCTTGTCTCTACTAAAAAAAAAAAAAATAGAAAGAAATTAGCTGGACAACTAAAAAAAATAAAATTAAATTAAAAAAATATATATATATATAATTAGCTGGCCATGGTGGCGCATGCCTGTTGTTCCAGCTACTTGGGAGGAGCCGGGGAGTTTGAGGTTGCTGTGGGCTAGGCTGACACCAGGGCACTCTAGCCTGGGCAACAGGGTGAGACTCTGTCTCAAAAAAAAAAAAAAAAAGAAAGGAGATAGGAGCCTCTGCCCTGAGGAACTGAGGAACTGTCGTTATGGTGGGAAAGACAGGATACATACAGGAGGCAGATATAAAAGCAACACAAACACATCCTATGCTTCATATGAATTAGCAGAGCAGAAAGGAGCTTTGAGTTTGTGAGAGGAATTAAAAATTGAGGAAGAGTGTGAGTGTTGGAAGACATGGTTGGACGTACTCTTGGCTCGAAGCCCCGGCTGGGCAGATTGCGGCCTGGGGCCAGGCGCCTGCTTCCCTGCCGGCCCCGAGCCTGCCGGTGGCTGCCGCCCGGGCCGTGGAAGAGCCGGGGCAGGCGTGGCCGGAGCCGCGGCCCGCGGGCTGGGAGGGCTCGGCCGCCCGCTGCGGGTCGGGCGTCTCTGGTGGGCCCGGGTGGGGGCGCCCGAGGGACGAGGCGGGTTCGGTGGCGGGTCGCTGCGGGCGGAGGGCTGGCAGGGTGCGGGATGGCCCCCGCAGCGCGGCCGGACGATCGCAGAGTGGCGCAAGCGCCTGTGGCTTTGCCGCGGGCGGGATCGGGCCCGCGCTGCGGGGCGCGCACCGGGCTGGGGCAGGGGAAAGGCCCTGAGAAGACGAGGGTGGAGGTCTGCTCTCCAGGTCTAAAGTCCGGAAGAGGGGGAGGCTGGAGCCCAAGCTCCTCTGAGTGCTCTCGGAGGAGCGCTAAGGGGTCAGGATATCTGGTTCTAAAAGAGGAAGGGGCAAGGGGATCAAAAGAGGGGGTCTAGGTTCCTGGATCGTGGAAGAGGAGGGAGCTGGGAGACCTAGATTCCTGGGCTCTCAGAGAAGAAGGGTCCAGGAGGAGGCTTGTTTCTGGGTTCTCAGAGAAGGTGTGTGTTCATATCTGGGTCCTCAACGGGGGTCAGGGGAGTAGCTCTGATTTCTGCGTTCGCAAAGGAGGGAGCTGGGGGCTGGCAAATCTGGTTTCCTGGTTCTCAAAGGAGAAGAGGGCTGGAGGCCTGGGTTTTCAAAGCAGAGGGACTGCGAATGGATTCCTCTGTTCTGGAAGGAGGAAGGGACTGGAGGTCCGGATTCCTAAGGACTACAGAATCCTCAAACCTGGAGACTAGAGGCTGCTATCCTGAATCCCCAAAGAGGATTCCTGGGTTCTCACTACGCACCTCTGCCCCTCCCCTAGACCATGTCGCCTGAAGAATGGACATATCTAGTGGTTCTTCTTATCTCCATCCCCAGCGGCTTTCTCTTTAAGAAGGCCGGTGAGTCATGTTCCCTCCCCAGTGGAAAATAAGGGGATGGGAGATTGGGCGAGGGACCCTCTGGAAGATTCCAGGCTTATGCTGTTCCCTTCTTCCTGCAGGACCTGGGCTGAAGAGATGGGAGGCAGCAGCTGTGTGCCTGGGGCTCACCTTGTTCACCTGTGGCCCCCACACTTTGCATTCCCTGGTCACGATCCTGGGGACCCGGGCCCTTATTCAGGCCCAGTCCTGGTGAGGATTTGGTAGAGGGAGGAGAGGGCAAGTAGGGCAGGAGGAGGAATCAACCCTTTTCCTCTTTGGGAAAAAAAATTAAAAATAAATTTAAAAAAATCAGAAGACATGGTTGATTGTAAAGCCAAAACATCTTATCAGAAGGGTTTTGATTTCAGACACATCTGCGTGTTTCCCTGCAAGGTTGTTCTGAATATCAAGCAGTAATCACATAAATGTATGAAATCATTGAAGAGCACACAGCTAAGAGAGTCAGGCTTGCACCCTAAAGAGTTAGGACAGTCATAAAATGGAAATCATGTTTGTGTGACAACACAATAGCCTCAAGGAAAACAAATGCCAATATCAGGCTGGTGAAAGCTTGGAACAAGGAGAGATTGCAAACTGAACTAGAGGTGAGAAGAACATGTAGAAGAGCCTGCCTACATAGCAAAATTCCTTCTTGCATAGCCCCTTGGTCCTATTTGGGCCCTTACTCTAGCACATTTTCATAGCATTTCACTCTCAGCTTTTTAGATTATCAAGCCACGTGAGAAACAGTATCTTCATCTAATTTCTGTGCCTAAACTCATCATGCTCTGCCATTCTGTTGATTTTTCATTTTGGACTTGGCCATTTTGATTCATGGTATTAAAAAAGCTGTAAAAACCAGCCATATACAAATGTCTTCATTAGAACTGTTAACTGAAGAAATAACAAGGTTCATAAATCTGGAAACAAGGGCTTTATTTCTCAAAAAGGGTTGAGGCCTGTGTGTGGCCATTCTGGCAGGCTGGAAAGCAAAGCCTGGGCCAGAAGCCATAAACACATGTTTCAAGACAGGGACAATTGGAACAGGAATTTATACCTAGCAGAGTAGCCAAATATACACATTTAACAAGCTATAGGAGGAGTAATGAATATTTACAAAAGGAGAAACATGCACATGCATAATCAAACTGTATACCCCTTTATGGGGTCAGAAATGGTGGCACTCTTATGTTAAAAGGTGAAGCAAGGACAAGAAAACCCTCTCTGTGCATGCTCTGTAGAAAAGTTAAAACCACTCCGTGGTTGCTGGTCTCTTCTCAGGAAAGAATGCTGATCTGGATCATGAGATTGGTTTCTGTTTGGCCCTTAGGAAAAAAGCCTGATGGCTGTTAGCAAGGGAGGGGGTACAATGAAGTGAGTCTGACTTCCCATCCTGTCATGGCTGAGAACTCAGTTTTAAGGTTTCTCTGGAGTCTCCTTGGCCAAGAGGGGGTTCATTCAGATAGCAGGGGGCTTAGGAGTTTATTTTAGTTCACAGAACCACTAGAAAGAGCCAGATAATATACAAAATGATACCTTTTCCTGAACTCATCAGAGTGTTGAGGTAGCAGGGCAACCAAGTACCCTGAAATGTAAGAAAAGACAGGTGCTTCCAAAGAGAGCTAGGAAGTAAGCACAGGCTCACCTGTAACACAGTATGGAAGGAAGATGGGGCTGCCATACAAATGGGTCAGAAGGATTCAGCTAAAATTTTAAATAAATTGCTAAAAGCCAGAACTGGGAACTGATTATACAAGGGGTGTTCATACTCATTTGAAGGATCTTCATGGACCTCCACCAGAGCTTATAAAAAGATTGTGGGCCGGGCAGGCAGGAGACAGAGAATGTCTCCTGGTGGCACATACCTAGCTAATGGGAGCAGCTGCCACTGTGGGAAAGGCACAAGGAACCTGAACCCTTTTCCCTAAGGAACAAAAGCCTTAAAACACTAGAAGAGGGACCCAGGGCACAGGTAAAAGCCCATTACACCTGGAGAAAGAGGAACAGGAAAAAACCCTCTCTACTCTTGAGAAAGAGGCTAGAAACCATCCCAGGCTAGACTATTAGCAGTCTTCTACCATTGAGGGAGGTACAGGATCACTGAAAAAGTCTTATCCTCAAGATCCAGGGACAGAAGGCCCACCTAGGGCTAGAACAACAGAGAACCCCTGCCCCACCTCTCAGGCTAGCAAGTACTGAGTGAGAAGCAATAGCACTCTACCACTGGAGAGAGAATCTCTGAAGTGCAGGCACATAGGGAAGGCCTAAAGTTGGTATGGAGCAGGAACATTGAGAAAACACCCTCCAGCAAAACCAGCCCCAACCCAAGCACAAGATAGGATCGGAAGTATTTAAACGTAACTATGGCAACAACAAAACCCAAACCCAGCTCAATTCTTGACTAGATTGGCCCAACCCTGCTATACTAATAGCTTCCCAGAAGAAGAGTGGTGCCCATTTCCAAGCAAAAATACAATTTATCTCAGTCTCTACTGTCCTACATGTAATGTGTAACATTCAATAAAATTATGAGTCTATACAAAAAAGGCAGATAAAAACAACCCTGTCAAGAGACAATTAAGCAATAGAAACTATTTCAGAGATGATCCAGATGTTGGTACTATCACAAATAATTTAATACAACTATAATTACCATGTTAAAGGCTCTAGTAGAAAAGGTGGACAGCATGCATAAACAGATGGGGAATTTCAGCAGGGAGATAGATACTACAGAAAGAGTCAAAAGGAAATGTTAGAAATTTTAAAACAAAGTAAGAGAGAAGAATGTTTTCAACAGACTCATCAGCAGTAGATTCCATTCAGCTGAGAAATAACCAGTACCTTAAAGATGGGTTCATAGAAATTACCCAAACTTAAATTCAAAGTGAAAAAAAATGAAGAAAGAAAATAGAATAGAATACAACATCCAAGAACTGTGGGACAACACAAACTGGTCTACCATGTGTAATTGAAAACTGAAAGTAGAGAGAAAGAATGGGAGAGAAGAAACATTTAAAGAGATAATGGCCCAAAATGTTTAAAAAATAATGGAAGTTATCAAAAGACAGATCCAAGAAGGTCAGCCAACCATCGACAGACTAAATACACATGCGCGCGCGCACACACACACACACACACTTAAATTGGAGGGGGGGAACTTTTTCATGTTGGGAGGCTGCATTAATTTAGCTGTAATCAGAGAAGCCTCCATTTAAAAACTTCAACTAGATGTACTGAAAAATGTACATTATTTTGTAAAACTCTAACTGCTCTGTATTTAATAATTTCAAAAAATGGAAACTATTTGTTAATTTTAAAGTTAACTAACTGTTTAATGACTTTGTGGTGTCTGCTTTTTTTAGAAAGCATTTGAATATTTGGTTGCACTGTGGAGGTCCACAGTTTCAGTTGATCCTCTAGATGGGTATCAATCATTTGTGACATTAAGGGCATCCTGATTTGGACTGGGTAGGAGGATGCAGATTCACAGCAATAAGTGGTTGAAAAGCAAGAAAGCATTTTTCGGGCATGTTGCCAAAGACGTGGGTATTCTACTGCATTTTTCCATATTTCAATTGGATTTTTCTTAGCATCAAACAATGACTTTAAAATGTCACCTACTGAGAGCTCAATCAATTCCATCTGTAGTTCTTTAGGTGCCTTGGTGATATCAACTAGCTGAGGCTGAAATGCTAATTTGAGTGTGATGTCATGATCTCAAAGTCAGTGAAGCTTTCATTGTCCTCTCCAGTTAATAGGTCTATAACAGCTGTGTATTCTTCAAATGAGTCACATATATCATTCTGTTTATCAATGACCTTTGCTAACTGGGGAAAATGTTCATCCAAAATTTCCTTTTGAAGAAGAAGTGTTTTGAAAAAGGTAGCTTTTTTCAAAATGCTTGGATTTTTTTTTGCCACATATCATATATAGACTTATTTTACCTTGCAAAGAAATATTCAAGTCATTTTGATTTGACAAGATAGCACATCGAAATGCTGCATTCCTATAGAAATCTTCTTTCAATAATTCACACTGCTGATTCTGTTCTTCATAAAATTTAACTATCTGTTCTCACAGAGATAAAACTTTGGCTAACACCTGACCCTGAGAAAGCCAACGCACTTTAGAATGCTAAGGCAAAGCCACATCCTCATCATGCAAAATGTTACAGCATGTTACAAAACTGATGATGCATGTTATATTTGCATTCAGCATGCTACAAAACTGATGATGCCATGTTGCATTTGCACTAATATAGTTAACAAGTCTTATAACTTGTTGCAAAGTGTCACTTAAAATAGTGGCTTCAGCATAGAGATTTTGCTGATGCAAGATACAATGAAAAGAAATGAGAGCATCTGGATCTGTTAATACTTTTTTTTTATATCTGTGTAATAAACCCTTCATGTTTTCCTGGCATGGAAAGTGTATGGCCTATACATACACTCACTAAATTTACCAAATTCAGTCCAACTTTATGACATTTATCTTGAAAGTTATTGAAGGCATCTGTTCCCCATGTTCTGTTTACAAGAGTGCCCAAAGTGAGTAACTCTTTGTAGCAAAGAAAATCTTCTGTTATGACCCGAATGAAGTATAAAACCTGCACTGAGTCAGTAGTATCAGTTGATTCATCCTAAGTGATTGAATAATATATATTTTCCTTTTGAAATATTGCATGAAGTTGTTCTGTTAAGTTAAAGGCCAATTCATGCTGACAATCATCAGTTATGGTTCTCCTTGAAAGAGGCAGTTGTTTGTACTTTGAAGCATTATCAGGGCCTAAGCATCCTACAACTTTGACAATGCATTCTTTCACAATTTCTACATTACTGAATGGCTTCCCTTTCTTCCTGAGCATATAAGCTATTTTATGAGTTGCATCAGTGGTATTATTTCCAGGTCTTATTGCTGCATGAAAGAATTGTCTTTGCTTTTAATCTTTTAATTTCTGCAATACAACCTTTCACGCCTCTCCCTCTAATTTAAAATATTTGTGGTCTTTATGAGTGTTATAATGCTGACGAGCGCTGAGTTTCTTTAATGTTGATATTGCAGTATCACAAAGCAAGCAAATCATCTTATCTTTAGCAGAAACAAGATAATATCGCAATTTTCTTGGTTTTCTTCGACATGATGGGCTATTAAGCAGACAGATTAAAAAATACTGTTGAGCTGTGCAAACTATTCGCAAATTCCACTTCAAACAGAAATACAGTGCACCGTTGTCAAAAGCTGA